ATTTCTTTCTCGTTTTTTTTTTTCCTTATAAAAAAAAAAAAGAAGTATTAATTTGCTGAGATAAATAATATCTGTGTACTTTAATATGGATTTCCAATAAGTTTCACAAACTAGCTTATATCGGAGTTTAAACAAAGACTTGCAATATGCGCCGCGACAGCATTCGCTTCATTAGAAATTTCGTCTAACGGACTATTTTGCGTTTGACCATTGCAAACTTGAACAGAAAAATCTGTTGTTAAGTTTTTACGATTTATAATGTTTTGAATCTGGCTTTGAAACGTTGATGTTGCATACATCAAAGGAATAGCTAACGCAGCAATACCCGAGTTTTGTCTCTCTTCTAGCTCAACTATTCTCTGTCTTAACTGTGCTATTGTTTCATTTACAGAGTTATTGCATTCCTCATACGCAGATTGCATTTCAACTAATCTTTCAATAATAAGAAACTCGCCTGGATACTTTTCTGTTATTAGGTTGCAGACTTCGTTAAGTCGTGAACTAAAATTATCCATATTTGTTATCGGAGAGCAACAAAGTCTCGATTCGCTACAAAGACTGCTACTATCTATTCCATGAGGTTCGCCTTCGGCTTCGAAGCGAGTGTTTGATTTTTTTATTTGAGTCTTTGAATAACTGTCAGTTTTCCGAATGTTATTGTTTTTATAGTTCCTGTCATTTTGGATGCTACAGTTATATTTTGGATTTCCGTTGTTTCCATTCAACTTAGAATAAGAGTTTGTTGGATACTTTGAGTTTGTAGCTACATTGCATTTATTTGCGTTAAAAACAAAACATGAATCAGACTCATTTGTTGTGTAACTACATTCTGAATCACTTAGTTTATCGTGCAACGTTTTCGTGTGGGGACTGTTAAGTGATTCCAATCGGGTTTTTGATAAGCGCAACTCTGACGACTTAGTTGGTTGTACTACTGGAACATTATAAGAAGATTTTTGTATTTTTAAACTTTTACTTCTATGAAGTGAACTTGTAGTTTTATTCACGGCGTTATTAGGTGAGCTCATTTTACCTTCATTCTTAAAACCATTTTGAAGTAAACTTCTTTCACGCATATTACTCTGTTTACTGTCTATAACTAACTTAGAGTAATCATCGTTTAAATTATTTTGAAATTTAGTTTTTACCGGCATGGTCGCTCTTCTTGGATCATTTCGGTTAAAGTTTGATTGTTGTATGTAAAATTCATCAGATATGGTTTTTGATCGGACTAAAAAAGTTTCTGTTTTATTTTCCGAAAATTTTTCATTATCAAGATAAAATGAGTTTCCATTTGGTAATGCATTTCCATTTGAATTGTTTGAATATTTTTGTTGGGTGTGTACAGGCGCTGATTTAGATCTTGTACGTTGAGCCTCAATCATCCTCGGCGTACCCTTCATCATTGGACCACAAACTCCTGTTTCAAAGTTTTCAGGTATGTCATAAAGATCCATATTGTGAGTTGAAGATGAAGATGATTCCGATGACAAACTCTTCTTTAATAAAAAATTTAACTTTTTCCAATCGGAAATTTGGTCACTTCCACAAGTTTTCCAGTTTTTTTATATACATGGAGTTATTTACATTACTTGCAGTAAACAGTAAAACTATCCATCTTTAAACTGCTATCTAATAAAATAAAACAAAATTCAAAATGGTATTTGATTAACAAATACATAATTAATATAAACAATTCCCATATTTAATTTGATCAATAAACTCAGGTTTTAGTTACTGTATTGGGTGATATAGTTTGGTATTTAGTTTTCAGTCTTTATTTTCAGTCTGATTCTTAAATATTTATATCTACGGATTTAAAGATTGCTTTATTATTTTTTATGATACAATTTTTAATTTAATATACGCCTATAGATCTTTACTACATCGTAGCTGGACAACGTTCAGTGTGCTTTCGTCATGAGACGTTTTGTGAGGTCATATGCTAGTAAACAAAGTAGTTTTTAATAAAAGATGCGTAACTTTTTAAGTTGTAAAATAAAAGATGGCGTATTTTTTGAATTTGTAAAGTAAAGATAGAAAAAAAAAAGAAAAAATCTAAAAACTAAATACAAAACTTATAGTTATATTCTGTTTTAAAAAAACATTTCTGAAGCTTTAATACTTTTTTTCTTTCTACTTATAAATTATAAGTCACATTTATTTGTCATATTTATTTAATTTCATCTTCAAGTCCGTGTTAGTTTTTCCTAATGTCAGCAAAAACAAAATCCTTACTGTTCTCATGCTGCGATTTCCGTTAAACAATTTACTGATAACATCTGGAAAATTTTTTCACATTAACAATTCTTGTACAAAATTTCTTTTAAATTCTATTAACTATTGATACAAACAATTGAAGATTGTGTAAAATTACCAATCAAATCAAAGTATAAGATTTCTAAAAGTTTTTCATTCAACGCCGCGTCAATCTTGAGTGTGCTTCAAAAAGTGAACACTTGGTGTTTATTTCATTCAATTTTTATAACTTATTTAGTGCCTATAAATGCGAGGAGTTAGATTATATATTATTAATCGTGATTAAAAAGTAATTTTCATTAGGTGCATATATATATATATATATATATATATATATATATATATATATATATATATATATATATATATATATATATATATATATATATATATATATATATATATATATATATATATATATATATATATGTATATATATATATATATATATATATATATATATATATCACATTTATATATAGACTACCCAGCTAACACAAAACGTTCAACAAACGTTGCAAACGTTCTATGAACGTTCATAGAACGTGCTCGAACGTCTGCAACGTTCGTCGAACGTACTTGAACGTTTTACGTTAGCTTGGTAATTACAAAAAAGATGTACTTTAGTATGAAGTAATAGGCAGCGCACATTTTTGAAATCACTTTTGCGTGATTTCAAATGAATATTTATCCTTTTTTTAAATCCTTTTTTTTTTTTTTTTACTTATAAAAATTTTTTAATTGTAACTTTTAGTAAATAAACATATAAGTAAATTGAACTAAAAATTGTAAAAAAAAACAACAACAAACATTTAAAACAATTGTTTATGGTAATTATAAACGATAATAGTATAAATTTTACCATAATATAAATTAAAGTGTTTTAAAATACTTTTTTTTTTCACTCAGAAATCCGAAAAGAAAATTTTAATTAATTATTGATAAAAATTAAAAATAAAACGTTTAAGAAAATTAAAAATTAAATTTTGTTTTCGCGAACAATTCACAAAACAAAATTTGTTTCTTTAATTTCTTTTTAACTTTTAGTGTTTACACTAAACCTTTCTACTCTTTAATAATTTATAAGTACATAACTATTAAATTTCTTCATTATTTTTATTTTTGTTCAAAAAAAACTTATACTTAGTTGAGTGAAAATCAAAATTTATAGAAAAAAATATTTGTCAACAGGTTTTATATGGTATTAAAGTAAATTTTGTACCACCTAAGAATGGCCACCTAACATAATTACAATGTTCGTGTAATGTTCTCTTTTTTTATAAAAACTTTTTGCTTCAAATTGTTGATCGTTCAAAAATATATTTGACAAACCACTGTGGTTAACTGGGTAATTATCATTTTTATTAATGCAAAATTACGTTTTTATTAATGTAAAATTATAATTATAATAATGTCATTTAACACGTGATTATGTCACTAATAAGTCATTTTAAACTTACCTTAATGAAAGATATTCTCGCTGAAAAAATATTTGGAACTTTTTTATTTTTTTTTTTGCAAAAAGATCTCCCATTAGGTATATTTTAGAACAATGTAAATAATATCATAATGCATACTGTTACCTTAGTAATTCGGCATTATCATTATGATTTTAAATTTTCGAGTGTTTATGCTTATGTAACCTTCTGCTTAAAAGATCCATGCAACCACTCTTTTTTAACTGTCGATGCTTATGTAAGCTTTTGTCAAAAAGATCCACGCAACTTTTGTTCAATCAAGTTTTGTTGCTAGATGTACACGCAACCTTCTATTTTGATTGCATTATATAAGCTTTTAACAAAATTATCCAATTTTTTTAAAATACCTAGTTTATATTGTTAACAGTCTTCGTAAATTTTACTATTATTAATTTTTTATATAATTGTACCGCAACTAACAACATCTAACTAATAAAAACTTTTTTTGGTACCAAGCAACAACTTGGCGAAGTAGATATGGCAGCCATATATCTAATTAATCAGCAAAACTGAATACAAAGTCGTACATGAAGTTTTTTTTAATGTTTTCCACAATATTTATTACAAGTATGTTTTAATGCCTTTTGTCACTTTTGTCATATACATCAATAATTTAGAATTACCTGAGATCACCCAGTAAGCACAGAACGTTTTTAAAACGTTTAAAAAACCAATGAAAACGGTTTTTAACGTTTTTTAAACGTTTTTAAAACGATCTGTGCTTACTGGGTATAGATGAGATTACACGAAAGTTACTTGAGATCATTGAGTACATGGATGCTACTTTGATTAAACTTCTAAATAACAATTAAAATGAAAGATTTTTTGGAGATTGTAAATGTCTAAAGGCATAAAAAGTCATAACAGGTGACAGTTTTTGCAACACAAAAATTTTTTTTTTACAATTTTTAGAACTTCCATTAAAAAAAAAAATTGTTTAACAAATTTTTTGTTAATATTATCCATTATTAGCCATTATCAAATATTAGCCATTGGGGGCTAATGTTCTAAAGGAGTGTGCCTATTGGTGGAATAACATATCCTAATTAATTCCCATAATTAAAATAATTACTCCAACAGGCACAGTCTTTTGCACACATTTTTGTTATACAAAAATTAAAAGTTCTGAGAAACTGAGTAAAAGCGTTGGAGATAAGAGTTGGAATTTTAAAATAAACAAGAAAAAGGGATATTTCTACGTTTAAATGGTACTTTAAATGCAATGGAAAAACTTACTTATATAATTGAAGAAAAAAGATAATTTTAAAATGCGCGGAACCTCTTATTAGGACGTTTAGCCACGTGATAAATAAAATGCGCGGAACCTCTCATGACAATTTAATGAAGATACAACTGATCAATATTATGTAAGTTGTAACCACAATCTAATAATAGTTTTACTAGAGCAAATATATTTTTATTTATAACTTATTGTAAATTACAAAACTTTAGCATATTATTATTAATTTTAACATTATAGCTTAAATAATATTAATTACATTATATATTAATTAATAATTTGTTACAGAGTGACAAAAAAATGTCTCGGTATAACAGAGTACAATGCAGCTGTTTTGAACAAATTAAATTGAAAAAATAGAACCCAGAAAATATAAAGAAACAAAATTACAAATTTATTTAATTTATATCATTAGTTTATCTTATTTCTTGTAAATTTATAATGTATTATATAATATTTTATTATAAAGTCATAGTTTTAACATATATAATAAAACTGCCGTTAAATGAATTTATGAACGCATGTTATTCATATAAATACTAAAACAGTTATTATGCAGTTTTATAATAATGGTATGCATGTTTTCTTTCTTTATAATTTTTTTTTTATGCGCGGTTATTAAGGTGCTCCCAGAAATTCTTTGGTCTTATCACAGAGTACCGCGTAAAAGTATTTAACTAGGAGGTTGCTTCCTTATGAATGTTGCATTTTGGGCTAGAACCGGCGTCTTATATCTAAACTATAACATAAAAAAAACAACTAGTTTATTAAAATTATGTTTTTAACAGCAGGATGACAATAAGCTAATCTGGCTTTTGAATTCTAGATAAATATCGTTGTGGAAACTTTATTTTAAGATGTAAATATATTATACAAAAGCAACAACAACTTCAATTCAAGGAGCGATGCATAAAAATAGATTGTTAATGCAGCTGTATGTATTATATTCTGTAAAAGATTTACTAAAATACATTCAAATGCGCGCAAACTTAAGGTTAAATACGCGCACACTTAATTTCGGCTTTCAATTGTTGTAGTTTTAGTTTGCAAAAATTGAAAGAATGTCGTGCAACAGTTGCAATAAGTTCAACTGTTGTACGTCAGCACAACTGTCGTACAACAGTTGCAATAAGTTAAACTGTTGTATGACAGCACAACTGTCGTACAACAGTTGCTCAAATTCATATACCATTTTTTTTTACTAGCTATAATATAAGTTGTTCTACTTTTTCTAAATTAAGAAAAATTATTTGCTACTGTCACTTTGTCATTCCAAATTTTTTTTTTTAATAATTTTTTATTATGCTAAGTTTGTCACTAGTATTTTAAAACAATTTATTATAAAAAGAGATAATATAATAAAATAATAATAAAAGTTAAAAGGTGATAACAAGATTCTAATCTTTTTTTGGACCTTTAAAACAACAAAGTCTAATTTTATTTCTAATTTTTATTTCTAATTTTTGTTTTAATAAATGAATTAAAAACTTTGAAAGTAACGAAAATATTTATTTTATATTTATTTTATTAACCGTTAAGTAACAATTTAAATATGTTATACGGTGTAATATTATGTAAAATTATGTAATATGTTATAATATAAAAGTAATGATAATAATAAAAAGTTATAATGTGAATGTAAATATTTTATAAGTTTTATTGCGATTCAATCAGCTAGGATAGTCTAAGTTAAAGTAAATTAAATTACTTTATAACAAAAATATACAATCTTTTTTAATGAAACTTTTTTTGTTTACATCAAGCCCTTATTAATTTTTGTAGAGCCAGATTATTTTTTAAATACGTTTATAAAACGTGTATATTTAACTCCATATATATTATACTCATAAAAAAAAGGAAGAAATACATACTAAATATACCAAAAGTATTAAAAAAGCAACAATACTCTATATATTTAGAAGTATAGCAGACATTGCTTTTGTAGTCAATTAAATATTACCTCCTTTTGATCGTTATTTTATCTGTTTGCGTTTTTAGAATCGTAAAAAAACCACGTGTTCAGCTAAAAATGAACAAAAACATTTGCTTTTTTTTTTTCTTTTTTTTTTTATTATTTGGCCTTTAAGTTAGTTTTTAAACCAATTTGTTTTACGTAAAAATCAGGGGGAAGTTATTTGTTTAAATAAATCATCATAACTTTATTAATTTAAGTTAATATATTTCAACTTGACAAATTTGAAGTCGATCATATTTTATAGTGTTATTTTTATTTAATGGAAGTTTTCTCTTCTAGAAGCAATAGATAAACTGCTGCTTTAAAAAAGTACATTATTTACCCGTCCATTTTATGCTTTTTTATACTTTTAACTGTGCTAACTTTGTGTATAGCTTTTTATTGCAAAGACAAAAATGAGCATGATTAAAATCTAATTTACTATAGACGTGTATTGTAATGCATTGGTAAACAATTTAAACGATAATAATGCTTTTATTTGAATTCCTTTCTTATATTCCTTTTATTTGAATGTATACTTTCTTATATTCCTTTTAAGTATTAACAGC